CCTCTTTTATTCGTATAAAAAACAATTCTCTCGAGTGGTCTGTTGGACATGGGAGGAGTAATAGTAAGGTTTCCTAAGCAATAACCTAGGCCTAAATTCATGTGCTTAATAATTCTAATTAAATTATACACGGAAAGAAAAATCAATGGCGATTTTTATTTTGTTCCACTTGAAATAATGTTTGTGATAATATTCCAGGTAGACAAATTACTTTGAAATATACAATATCATCTATCTCATTCTTTGAACTTTCTCCCTATTGGGGCTCAAATTTAAAAATTACTTTCAACTTCAAGTAGAAATATGTAATTTGTCAAGGGATAAACAATGCTAACTCTATCCAACTATATTAGCAAAGGCATAAAATCCACTATTTATCAGAATAAAATAAGTACTTTCTTTAGGACTGTTACATGCTCAAGTGATGCTTTACATAAACAGAAAATCTTGAATTATTATTCTAAGTGATTAGTGCATTTAAACATAAGATAGGGATGGGAAAATAGCATTTAACCAAACATTTGATTTTCAATCTACGTTTTCAAATGTCTGTGATTAATTATGTTTTCTTAAGTATTAGAAGTTCATATCATCTATAATATCCTATTTATGATTTTTGGCAAAGAAAATAGAAGATTGGGAACACTGCAGCTGAATAGAGAATGCTAGTGAAACATTCTAGAGTACAAAACAGATAAGTTGCAAAACATGCTCATAATTTTCTTAAGATTGACACTTTCATAAATCAGCTATTTCAATAATTTGAAAAGTCGGGGCTGGCCCAGTGGCTCAGCGGTTAAGTTCACACATTCCGCTTCTCGGCAGCCCGGGGTTCACCGCTTCGGATCCCGTGTGCGGACATGGCACCGCTTGGCACGCCATGCTGTGGTAGGCATCCCACATATAAAGTAGAGGAAGATGGGCACGACGTTAGCTCAGGGCCAGGCTTCCTCAGCAAAACGAGGAGGACTGGCAGTAATTAGCTCAGGGCTAATCTTCCTCAAAATAATAATAATAATAATAATAATAATTTGAAAAGTCTACTTTTTCCTAACTATGCGTCTATCAGAATCTATCTGTTTGTACTTTCTTTCCCCCCGAGTAAAAGTTGGATTTTTTAATATTATTGGCATGGCCAAATACAATCAACTGAAAAATACTCAAACCACAGCAGGAAGTTTTTCTAGTAAAGGGATAAATATGTGTGTAATGATTTTTGGTGATATTTCTGAATATAGAAATTATCCTAAGTGTTAATTTTCTTTCAGATGTTTGAGAAGCATATCATAATCTGTCTTATAACAGTATGAAACTACTTATTTGAAATATTTAAGTGTACCAATATGAATCTTGTCTTCACAATTCCAGGTGAAGAATGTCAACATGATCTCTGCTTATTTTATTCACTTTGAGAGATCTGAGCTGTGCAAATTACATAAAAGTGATCCTTGATCATTATCCACTGGCACTTTATTTCCATCCCCTCTGTGGTTCTGGAATCTCTGTAACTTCCAACAACACAGCCACAATCCAAAGGCTCCATTAACAATCATCTGCCACATTAGTTTACCACATTCAGGAGAATTTCTGAAATTATATGTCCAACTCTGACTTAGATATCCAAACATAATACTTAGTTCTCTTCAACCATGATACAAAGTCTCTTACCACGTGTATTTAGACTTGTGATACAAGATATCCAGAATGTCAATGATTGAGTATTTTCGAGGTAGAGTGAAAGTAGAGACATTTTGCTATTCAAAATTAGTGTGTACAAACACACACAGATGAATCTTTAACTTTAATGAATCCTTAACTAATATGTTAACAAAAACTGTACTTTGGAAAATAGAATACCATTTAAAAAACAAAGGTATACAATCTTTTAAGAAAACTGATAGTAACTTGGTTTTATCCACATTTAGCAATAAAAGCACTGTATGGGAGAATAGAAATTCCTTGAGAAAAGAAAAATGATTTCCACAGCTAGTGTCATACCTAGTGAATATTCACTGAGGTTTTTGTATGAGTTACAAGAACCCACTGGAGGAAGGAAGTTAGCTTAAAATCAAATAGAAATATTGGTTAAATAATCACATTTTGTATGGCATTCCACTAACTTCCTTTTTAAACAACTTTACTATTACCTGTTATGATCAGCCCTCTCAACTTATACATAGTATGCAAGGATAAATATGCGAAAATAGCAATGTAACTGGGTTTTTTAATACAACTAATATCTACTTTCAAATATTTCACAATGATACAAGTGATTTAGGTTCTACTCATCTCTATTTCCTTCAGAAAAGTAATTTATATCTTAACAATTTCTTCTTAATTTATATTTTTATACAACATGTAGTGTTCAAATCTGGGCTTCTTGTCTAGCAATTAGCTTTTTAACAGTATTTACCACTTAGCTAAATAGAATATTACTACCTGCTTCAATTTTCTATGCATACTCTAACTGTTGTCCTTATCTCCAGTAAGGAAATAGAACATTTTAAATGACACTTCTTAAACCTTCTTATAAATATTTGGTAACAGGTCGTTAGTATTATATCCATCAACACCTATTGGGAATATCTTTCATCTGAACTAAGACAAATTAATTCATCTTAGGAAGTAATCATTGTCATTAAATCTTCCTCAATCACAACAGCATTAAGATGAGAAATTCTAAGAGAATGTTTTGAGTAAGAGTTTTCTAAATCCACACATTTCAATTTAACATAATCAAAAGTATATTCTATATCTTTGTAATGCACACATATAATGGGAGACAGCAAATAGGAAACAGAAAGATACATGTCACACTTCACGAGCAAGAGTGATCAGAAGGCTCTAAACATAGTAATTGCACTCTGTTTCCAGATCACCTACTACCGAGACTTGACAGGAGAGTTCACAACATATTTCACCTTGACTGTCTGATACTTCCCCAACACTGCTGACCGTAGAATAGATTAGACTGTACAATAATGGGGAAAACTGAGGTGAGTGTAGGTTGATAGAAGTACACCCAAGTACCCTTGTGTTGCCCAGAGAGGAAGGGAAGTGGTTGTTTTGAATTTTAATAGCTGACTTTTACTTTTTATTCCTAGAGTGGGGGTGTCAAGGGCAGAAGACATTACTGAGGCTATCATTAATTTGATACTCTTACCTTCTTCACAGTTATTCCACTAACCTCAGGGAGAAAGTCCAAATCAAGGTTGTCCCCCTCTACGCAGATGGAAATATTAAATTGTAGGCCATTAAAACTTGACCTTCACACAAACAATAAGATGGTTTCAAGAATTTTTTTTTAATTTAAAACATGTTATTGACATGTTCTTTACGCATAAGTGCATGTCTAATAAAAATAAAATCAGAGGAAATTTAAAAATAAGCAATAAAATTTAACAGCAACTCTTTTCAATAAAACCAAATCATTAGGGTTTTAAAAATAACACGAAAAACTATAAAATCTTAATAAAACAAATAAAGAATTTTGCTACCATTTACCAATGCCGTTACATAGGTATGTGGATTTAAGTTTCCTGTCTTTGGACACACAGTTGCTGTTGGACTAGGATAGAGCAGTGAGAAGCTTGCTCACTCCAAACAGTATGCCCTTCAAGGCACTGAACCAGCAGAGACGCACTGTGGCAATACTGCCTGGGGGTGAACTCTCTCAGAGGAGATGACAAGTTAAATTCTTTCGCTAAGTAGATCCATTTTGGTCATGTCTGAGTGGAAGTAGTCACCCTTACAAAACTGTAAATGGCGCCAAGGTCTTCCTTATGCAGTACACATTTTTTTCCCCACTCTGTCTTTCCTGATGACCATGTCCTTATTATCTTGCTCTCCTACAGCATGAAAAATATCTAAAGCTTTATCTATAGCTTATCTTCTCCAGCTCTTCTGCCAACTATTATGTGTCCCTCAAAGGAATAAATTCTTCTGGATGGAAAATACTAAATAAACAGGAAAGAGGCCCTAAACGACAAGCTTACTAGGAATTAAAATGCCAAATACTGAAAACACACAAGTGGAAATTAAAACAGTAAGGAAAGAAGGGGCAAACACCATGTATTTAATACAGAAGTTTTTACAGAAAGAGAAGCCACAGATGGAGAGGGAAGTAAGATTTATTTTCTCATTTTGTAAGACAAAATATCTTCACTTTTGACAAAAAAGTGTTATATAAATATCACTAAAAAGTAAAATTATCTTTGAGCAACAAGAAAATATTGATTTACTGAATTAAATATTCTACCCTCCTCCCACCCCCAACAACTTAAATCACAGAGTAAAATACAGCATTTATACATTTAGCATGGAAAGAATTTTAATTGAGGTTAAGTCTGCACATTCAGTCAGAATCAGAAAATAATATACATAATGGTATTATGTATATGATATGGTATTATGTCTGATACCATTAAAAGTTTACCCTCTTTTAAAGCATTTGTGATAGACAATAATTAAAGAAAGTTTTAAAATTGCTGTTCTTACCAGAGCAACTTCATGATATCTAATAACGCGTACCAGCCTGGTAGCATCAACAGCCTTGGACAGGAGAGTGAAGAATCCCAAATGTCATAAAATGTTTGCTTTGTTAGAATTTTGCTAATTTCTCAGTAAATCATTTAAAATATTGCATTGTGATGTTTGTTTGGAAAGACTTTTCTGTCCCATCTAGAGGGCCTGCTGCTGTAAAAATCCATTTTAACAGAAACATCGCTTGCCTGACCAGAGAAACAGTATTTTCTTCAGCTTCAGAGGAATAAGCACAAATGATAAGTTTATATAAACATCTCTAATATGCACTTTGGCCCTAGTGAATGGAATATAAATGTCCACAAAATTCCTCTCAACACATCCCCATCATTATCATTATCATCATCATCATTATCATCATCATCACGTCATCCTCGAGTCACCATCACCAACCACACCACCACAACACTGTCACCATCTTTGCTTTTGCCCTCTCCCTCTCTCTTGGACTTTCTTACCTCTCTCCCTCCTTGTACTGCCTCCAGTCTTTTCAAGTTCAAACTCTGAAAGAAACAAACAAAATATATTATTGTTGGCAAAAAAGTAACTAATAGTTAGTACTAGTGTAAAAATTTTGAAGTAAAAGAAAATACTGCATTTAACAAAGAAGATCTGAATATAGGTAAGTATCCATTACGAATGCCAATAACTATATCTGAGTAAGTCCTCAAAAGTGGTACCAACGCATTTGTTGCTAAATCCTAAGACTACAAGTAAAAATAAAATGTAAAGCATTTGTTATAGCAATGATTGCCTGTGCTTTGGTGAAACCACAATCTAAAATGTGCTGTTTAAAATTGAAGTAGTGCATCCAGGACGTGCTGTGATAGTCAGCTCCTATGCTACTGCACTGTACCTGGCACATCGTGGGACCCAAACAGCACTAAGACTAATAAAAAGCAGCAGCATCCTTTGCAGCACTGGTGATCATCTAGGAAATAATCAGGATTCGATCTCCTGACAGAGGACTTTCTCTCTCTTCTACGATCGTAACTGCTTTTGACACTAAAAGGGGAAAGGATCCACTTTAAGTCTCCAATAAACTATATGCTTAATTAAATGGAAGAAGGGTTCATCTTTTTCTTAGGAAGCATATTGCAACATGTGCCTGTGATAGAGAAAGAGAATCAAAGAGTCTATCTATCGTTCTATCTTCACTGGAAATACTGCTATTAGAAAGAAAAATAATGGAAGAATTTTTTCCCCTCTGAACACAATGAAAACTTCAATTTCTGTTATTTTCCTGCTGGAGTAGCTTTGCATATTGAGGGACAGCCTGAAAATTGCAATAAAACGTGATCTCACAGTAACTAATTCTTCCTTTTTACATTCCTTCCTTTTTCTTACCTTCTCTTCTCTTTCCCTCCCCCTCTCGATCACTTTCTTTAGTTATTTTACAATACATACTTATTATATCCTTACTACAGGCTAGGCATCATGCTAGATATTGAGGATATCAAAATAAATAATAAATAGTCCTCAAAGTTTAGGATATCGTTGACTAGACACACAAAAGTGAAAATAAAACCCTAGGAGAATGATGTCAAGTTCATAAAATTTTTTCTGAGCTTAAGATGAGAGAGGCTCAGTCAGCCGGGAATGGGCATTCACACAGCCCACAGAGGAGGATTGCATTGAACGGTCAGAAGCCGAGGAGGGAATGCAGAAAGAGAACAGCATGCAGTTCTCTAAAACCTGGCTACTCAAAAGTGCAGTGCCTGATAGATAGTATCATATCACCTGGAAACTCATTAGAAATGCAGACTCTCCATGGTGATGCAAAGTACAGCATGGCAACTATAGTTAATATCACTGTATTGCATATTTGAAAGTTGCTAAGAGAGTAAGTCTTAAAAGTCCTCATCACAAGAAAAATATATTTTTTGTAACTATGCATGGTTTTGAATGTTAACCAGATTTATTGTGGTGGTTATTTCATGATATATACAATAATATCAAATCATTATGTTGTATACCTAAAACTAATATAATGTTACAAGTCAATTACACCTCAATTTAAAAAAATGCTATTGTTACTAAAGAAAATTCTGACTCTCAGACTCCACTCAGGACCCGCTGAGGAAGAAAATACATTTTAACACAATTTCTAGGTGATTAAGATGCATGTTACAGTTTGAGAACACTACTTTAAGAGGTCTAGAAATCCTGGGTGGTTTAGCTGGCATATATATTGTGAGTCGAGCAGAAAGGAGTGCGGGAAAATAAGGCCGAAAAACTGACCAAATTGTGCAGTCTTTCAAGCAGAGAACTTGGGACTTGTTCTTTAAGCAAATGCTTACTTTAATAGCAGTTGTTGAAAACTGGTGGTGAAATTTAAAACACCAAAAATAGACATAAATAAGGACTCACATATTCTCATAATTTAGTCTATACCTACATTTCCTTTTCCCTTTTTTTAGAAACGCTATCAGGGGATAATTGGAAAAAATGCAAATAAAAACTGGGATTTTTCTTTATCACAAAAGTTTTTCACATGCCTCTAAGTCATTTGACACAGCTTTAGAAAACACAAATTTAACAAATTTTCACATTATCAATAAGAATTTTGGTTTAAGTCAAAGTATTTCTCTATTTTTGGTGCAAATCTGAACAGTACATAGCCTCAACTGTATATTCTACAGTGTCAATGACACATTTAGTAAGAAAATTGACCTGCAAGAAAGATATGCTAGACTTAAATATTGTATTTCTAGCATATATTTTGGAATTTAAGAAAGATTGCTACTGTTTTGTTGTTTTAAGCAGAACAGTGGAAGTGTAATAATTTATTTATTAAGTATTCAGTTATAATAAAAGTAATTTATAGCATAATTTTTTTTTCATTTGGTGACAGCATTTATGTTTACAAGCTTTTCAGGGGGTTTTTAACATTTTATCTCTTCATATATAAAACTCATTTCTTGAATTGTTTAGAAAAACACACACGCACACAAATCTTAACTAAGCCCTTTTTATTTTAAGAAACAGACTTTTACTCTGTTAACTCTAGAAACTAAGGCTGTAGGGTCAACCTAGCAAACCAGTTATTCTTGTAAATAAATGGTAACCTGATTTCTGAGTGTAGAAAATATTACCTACATTTACAGAATACATTTTGAAGAGCCTAAATTTCATAAGAAAAAAGATATAACACAAAACATTTATTAAACCTGGCAGTGTAAGCTAAAAATGAACTCTGAAGTGGCATTCATGCTCATAACTTTTAGAAGTTATGGGAAATAGTATAACGATGTGCTTTTGAATTTAGACTGATATGAATTTAAGTTTCTGGTTGGCCAGCTTCTTCTGTGTGCTCACTAACAAATTATATAATATCTCTCAACTTCAGTTTTTGTACTTGAAAAATAATAATAAATATAGTAACTATCTCATATGGTTGTTATGAAAATTAAACAATATGTGTACAGCACTTAGCAAAGGGCCAGGAACAGCATATCCCCAAAGAGTAATTATTATCTTCTTTTTCTTCTCTTTCTTCTTCCTCCTCTTCTTATTCTAATTCCTCCTTATCATTATTACACATATATAACATGCCTAAATATAAGATAAATTTGAACAAAATACCCTTATTTTGTGCCTTTTATTTGAAGAATGCAATATATATAGAAAACACTTACAAACAATAAATAATGAGAATATTTATATTGACTAAGCACAAGTCAAAATGTTTTTACACACATTTTTTCATTTTGTACTCAAGACAACACTTTTTTTTTGAGGAAGATTAGCCCTGAGAGAACATCTGCTCCAATCCTCCTCTTTTTGCTGAGGAAGACTGGCCCTGAGCTAACATCCGTGCCCATCTTCCTCTACTTTATATGTGGGACGCTTACCATAGCATGGCTTTTTGCCAAGCGGTGCCATGTCCGCACCCGGGATCCGAACCGGCGAACCCTGGGCTGCCGAAGTGGACTGTGCACACTTAACTGCTGTACCACTGGGTCAGCCCCTCAAGACAACCTTTTGAGGTAACTATTGCTTTCATAAAATTTGGGGGGGAAATTGGCATTATTTCTTAAAACAATTTTGCTGTTCCCTGTTTCTCCTACCATGTAATTCTGAGGCACAAATTAAATGTTCAATGACTTGTTATTGTTCCATATGCCATTGATAGTGTTTACTTTTTTGAAGTCTTTGTCTTCTCTTGGTGCCTCATTTTGTATATTTTCTATTGCTACATTTCAAATTCATTGATTTTTTCTTCTTCAGTGTCTAATCTGCCATTAATTCCATTCAGTGAATATTTTATTTCAGATATCTTAGTTTTTATCTCTATAAGTTCAATTTGAATTTTTTCTCTCATTATATTCATAATTTTAACTCCTTGACATATTTATAATAATGTTTTGAATTTCTTGTCTGTCTCTATTGACTGAATTTTTTCTCCTGGTTGTGAGTCACATTTTCCTATTTCGTCTCATGTCCAATAATTTTTTATATTGGTTGCCAGATGTTGTGGTTTTCATTTTGTATATTCCCTTAGTAGTTAGCATTAGTTCTGGCAGATGGCTAACTTACTCGTGAGTCACACTAATCCTTCTGAAGTTTGCTTTTAAAAAAATTTTAGGATGGGTCTCATGTAGTCTTCAGAGTTATTTATCCTTATTACTAAAGCTTGACCCTTTGTGCTCTCTCCTGAATACCTCATGTACTCAATGAAGTTCACCTGAATGATGGGAATTTTAAAAAATACCCAGACTTGTGAAAGCTCTGAGAATTCTTCTACTTAAAGTTCTCCAGAAATTATTATTTTTTACCCAGTAGTTGTTCTTTGCCTGGCCTTGTGCAATTTCACTCTACACACGTAAAATTGCTATTCAGTCAAAATTCTCAAGGGAATACCTATGCAGATTACTAGGGCTCTTTCTCCGTGTAGTTCCCTACTTTCTGGTAATCTGCCTTGCAAATTCTAGCTGCTTTGTTCTCTCCAAACTCAAATCTTTGTCTCCTAAACTATAAAATTTAAAGACCCAGAAATTCTGTTTGGTCTGTCCCTCCATGCTCCTGGTCCAAAAATTGCCTCCAGGCAGAAATCCAGGTGTTGTAAGCCTCTCTTTATTTCCTTCCCTTCACTCAGGTATTACAGTACTTCCCTGTCTGTTTTTTCACGTGTGAGAATTGCGTTACTGTCGTTTGTCACTTAACAGCGAGATACCTTCTGAGAAATGCAACATCAGGCAATTCTGTCATTGTGTGAACATTATCAAGTGTGCTTACACCAACCCACATGTTATAGCCATTGCTTCCAGGATACATACCTGTACAGCATGTTACTGTTCTGAATACTGTAGGCAACTGTAACACAATGGTAAGTATTTGTGTATCTAAACATAGAAAAGTTACAGTAAAAATATGGTATAAAAGATAAAAATGGTACACCTGTATCAGACAATTACTATGAATGGAACTTGCAGGACTGGAGGTTGCTCTGGGTGAGTCAGTGAGTGTGTGGTGAGTGAATGTGAAAGCCTAGGACATTGCT